GCTCCTCGGGGACGTGTGGGCGGGAGCCTGTAGCTGGACTCGGCGCCCTGAACTGCAAGAAAAGCTAGACGTTTATTTTCCCCTAAATTATTTTTATAATGGTAGCTTTTTCTACATCCTACTCCCATTGATGCAGCTAAGGTACATTTGTTAACAAGAAAAGGACAAATCCTTCGTATTGTAGAGAAGAGAAAAAGACAGAGCATGCTCACTTTTTTATATTAATTTTTACAGTATTTGTAAGAATAAAGCAGCATTTAAAATCGCCCCTGCGTCCTCTGTTGGCAGTGGCTCCGCACTCCGGGGCCCAGGACCCAGCTGGGGAGGGTGTGTTCCAGGGCCTGGTGTGCTCAGAGCACCTGGAACGCCTGCGATCCACGGGGCAGGTGTGCGTCCCCCTGAGGGAGCCAGGCTTCTGGGAAAAGGGTCTGCTTTGCCTTTGAGGCACGCCCGCCTACCTGCGTAGGTTTGGTTCAACTTGCTAAGATCAGTGAGGCGTGACCAAGCTCCTGTTCAGCCAGCTTTCCAGCGGAGGGTTCCCAGAAAGCACCGGGACCTGTGCTGGCTGACTTGGGGCCCTGCTGGGGACCGCCGAAGGGCCACACAGTGGCCGCCCCGGGGAGGGGGCGCTCCAGCCGTCCCAAGCCGTCCTACTCTGAATCATCTCAGCTGTCACCGACTTTGCTTTCACTTTTCTCAGTCTCACTGAGAATTCTAGGACATTTCCGAAGCGTACAAAATTGTCACGTAGGAGAGAAAAGGGCTGTCCCAACTGCTGTCTTGCCAGCAATTTCATGTTTCAGTGCTTAATGCAAACAAATCCAGCCAACTGCCTCCCGGCAGAAAACTGGCTACTAGGCTAGGCGCCTTTTCTTGGTCTCTGCTGCATACTGATGTGTGTAATCAGTTATCACGGCCTGTGTTGATTACACTGCTGTTAGGAAGCATCTGAAGAATTAGTGCGTGGCTTTATGTGTAATACAAATCTCTGCGGCCAAGGCAGACGGACCTGGCTCCTGAAGGCACTGTAGCCTCTGTGCTGGGCATGGTGTGGGCAGGACTGCAGGGCCAGTGCCAGCGAGCTGCGTCTGCCCAGGCACACTGCTCATGGCACTGCCCAGCTCCTCCCAGCTCCGCAAGAGTTTCACCTCTGACCCGGTTCCCCAGAGCTTGTCTGAAAACATGGAACCACAAAACGCTTAGGATAGACATTTATTGCAGGGGAAGAGTAGTGTCATGAGATGGGACAAAGGTTTGGGTTTTACAGGGTGTTCTTTGGGGAACTGTTAAAACTAAAAGAAAAAGATGATGAATTAACACTTTAAAATCGCAACTGAACAAACCGTTTCTGATATATTAGTATTATTGCCTTAGATAAATACAAAATGAAGATCTGAACTTACAAGTTTCAATAACATGTTACTCAAATTGCAGAAAGGTAATAAAAAACGTAAATTGTAGAAAAAAGTATGTTTACAAAACCATTTTACTGACATCTGCCCCAGAAAAGTCCAAGTAAGTTTAATTTCAAGATTGTAAAACACTCTCTGTCCAGGGTTAATAAATGACTCCAAAGCAGCACCACTGTCTGTAGGTACTCCGCAGAGTTCATAGGCCCCAGGGCCACAGCCCCTGCTCCGAGGAGGCTCCTGCACCCAGGAGCTGGACTTCCTCCAATCCAATGCAGCTGGCCGGGTGGGTGGTTGCGGACTGGACGAAGCAGCAGGACAGCTCCACCTCCTTTCCGAGGACACTCTTCACTTCGTAGCTCTGCAGTGATAGAGGCACACTGGCTAAAGTAAACACTGACGCTTGGACTTTGTGTTCCCAACTACCCACAACCCCAGAGGGCTGGACGAAGGCCCTGTCCGCCCATGGTCTTCCCTCCCTCGGAGGGTGAGAACGCGGGCGGGAGGAGGACTGCTGCTGGAAAGGCCCGTTTTACGGCACTGGAAGGAGCTCCTGACTGAATGCGTCCACACAGGGAGCCTTTATCACAGCACTGGACGGAGCTCCTAGCTGAATCTGTGCTCACACAGGGAGCATTTAAAATCTTTCAGGGGTCTTCAGTGGATGCCATGATACACACCTCCCAGCTGGTGGAGGGAAGGCGCTGGGGACCAGACAGGGCCTAACTGCCGTCTAGCCCTGACAAGAAGGGCTAGCCTGATGAGCAGCTTGCCCACGGCCGCCTCCCACTTCCTTTGGGACACTTCCCTAATCTAGTGGCACTTCCGGTCAGAGGATTTCCTCCCTCCTTAATAGGATCCCATTTCTCCCAGAGCTCCCCTGGCCTGAAGCCTTTCTAGTGGTTGTGATGGCACGGTTGCTTTCCCTGCACTGTGGTTGGGGTGTGGCTGGAAATAAAAGCCCAGGAGCACAGGGATAAATCCTGTCACTGGCCTTCGGGGAGACGGAGCCTTGGAAGGTAGGGCCACCTCGACTGTCTCTGTAGGCACCCCGCCCCTTCCCTGACTTGGAGCCTCACACGGCTGTTTGTGGGTAACTCACCCACTATCCTCATTACTGTGCCCTGGGCAACTTGGCTTGGGAGGCCAAAGGCGCAGCCAAGCAGGCACAACATGTGCTTCCTGAGTGTCCTTCTGTCACAGGTGGGTCTCATGGCCCTCCCGAGCCTGGGCTGGCCTCACTGTCTGGCCTCTCATAACCTGAGTGCAGTGCAAGGGACACTGAGTGAAGTTCAGCTTCTCCTGGCTATCCCAGGACCCAGACACAGCCACGAGGACCTGGCGGGGGTGTGGCTGGTTCCCACCTAGCCCTGGGTGCAGCCTACACCCAGGAGCAAACGCCTGTCCTGGTGGAGCCCCTGTGGCCCTGAACTTTGACGCTGAACACTGACCCCTGAACTTTGCGCGGGGGTGTCTGTAGTAACAGCAGCAGGACTGGTCTGGGATGTGACCGCCACTCCAATGCCACGCCGTCCGATGCCTTCCTGTTCCCCTTTCCAGTCAGGCATGGCCAACCCCCCAGCCCACTTAACATGCTCTGTAAGGACGTTTGGCTTCCTTGGCAAAAATAGGAGCTCACTGGGGGTTAATGATGGGAGTGGGATCTCCAGGCCAGGGCGGGGGTGGGGCTGAGGCCTCCCAAGGGATTGTGTGCGGCATGAATGGCAAGTTCTCTTTTCCTCTCCAGTTACGTCTCAATGTGCCCTCGTGCCTCTGGGAGGAGGTGAACCCCCCTCCCCATGAAAGCAAATCCGTACCTTCCCTCTCGCGTGGCACGGAGGGAACAGAGACACACGGTCTAACCTGAAAAAGGATGGGCTTTGGGAACGATGTAAGGCAAATACAAACGCAACGTGGGAAACGTCAACTTCGCAGAAAAGTCTAGCATTACAAGAAGACTCTCAGTAGCAACATTAGCTTCTGAAGAATCACCAGAACAGGCTTTTCCCAGCCTTAACGTGGATCGCTCGGGATGAGACGCCTACACTTCCTGAAGAGTAGTGACACTACATTTTTTTATAACAGACATCCAAATATATGTATATACATATACATTGCTGAAACAAAAGTTTCACCAAACATAACCTTACCACTTGCAATGCACTCTGATATTTTCTATTCTACTTCAGTTCCAAAAAAAGTGAATCAGTGTAATTCCCACTCACTATTGGATCTCCACTCCAAACTTGGAAAACACTTCTTATGGAACAAGTTTCACAAAATTCTCTTTCTGCTATGTGCCCCCCAAAAGGGAAGTTCCAGAAAACCCACTTTAAGTTCTGTGTTGAGTTCCACAAACAACTGGCAACTTTTAAGTAAAAGGTTGATTCCATCTCTCCCACTGCCCTCTACAACTCGCCCATGGTCTGGGGGCTTGTCTTGAGCCCACATGGTCTGACACTGAGATGATGGTGGTGAGCAGGACAGAGGCTCAGGCTGCCGGCTAGAGGACAGCCCCAGGTGGCACATGACGACAGGTCACCACACATTGCTGGGAGGGTGGGCAGCAGGCAGCTTGGGAACTTGGAACTGTCTGGCCTCTCATAACCTTGGTGAAAGCTTGGTGAGCCTTGCCTGAATGTTAGAGCTTAAACCAAATGTCCAGACACTCCTGGGCATCTTCAGAGCAGAGGTACAGAAACTTGACTTGAAAAAAGCCAGCAGAAAATCATTTGTTTTTAAGACGTTAGGCTTGGCTACATCACCTTTGAATGGAGTTTAAATAAATCTTTTATACTGGGGAAACTCACACAGGTTAGTTAAAATAACTATAACAGCAATCTATATGCACAAATGTGAAACTGCATATGCATAAAATATCTACATTTTTAAAAGGCACCTTACTTGTGGGCCTTTACATAACTTTTTCTTTTGTGGTAAGGCAGAAATTAAGGAAACCACCTCTCAGTTCCATATCCCGATGGTATTGCTGTTGGTGAATGGCTGGCAGCCCGTCCGACAGTTTTCATACCCGTGACTTGACCACACTGGACCAAAGGTCTAGGACTTGGCCCCCATGTGTCCTCTCCAGAAACAGGACGTTTTTGCGGAGAATGCCGTAGGTTCTTGTGGAAAGCCCCACTTGGAGCCTGGATTTTACACAATGTGCAGTCTCACCCAGACCAGGTGACTGGAGGCCCATGTACACACGCTGGGCACCTGCCATCAGTGCCTTTCCAGGTCAGATCGCAAGACCAGACTACCCTTCGTGAGTGAAGTGGGCGAGACAAGGAGCTTCCTAAATTTATGCTCATTCCAGTTGTGTCAGCCCTGAAACCAGAGCACCCAGAAGGTGACACCTGGGGCTGTCTTTCACTTTCTTCCCCTCACCCAGTGCTCATAGGTGCTTGCCTAGGTGCACACGCAGCTCGCTCAAGCATGCACAGATGCCATCGCGTGTACATATTCACACACACACGTATGGAGGCTCACTCTCAAGTCCTTTCTAAGCAGGGTTTTGTCTACAGGAATATTCTAGCTTAGAGTTAGGTGTGAGATTTCTCCTCACTGGGGAGCTAGGGAGCTGGGACAAGGACCATGCACTTCCGGCCTGCGGTGGCCCTGTGACTGCACAGCCAGGAGCACCCATTTATACCCCTGTCCACGGCCTGGCCCCAGTGGCAATCCCTGCTTGGAGGAGCAGCTCTGATGAAGGCTCTATACTGGAGCTGGATGTGGGGTCACCAGGAGCTTTAAGGCTGCAGGTTTCATCCTGGGGAGGCAGCTGAGCCCCCCAAAGTCGAGGCTGAGCACTGCAGGCTCGGACCAGGGACCCTCAGGGTTCTGCTCGTGATTTCTCCACATTCCAGTTTCATCCGACCTTGACAGTCAAGGCGACACAGCCTGCTCCCTGCAACAGGGTGGTGGACCCCATGGTCCACATGGCCCCCAAGGAGTAGAGCCCCCAACCACCAGCTCCAGTGTGAGCACGAGAGAGAGGCCCTCAGCTGCTGGGGAGGCCTGCTCCCACTCAGTCCCCACCACACTGAGAAGCTCCCCTCCTTGACAGTTTCCATCCCAGACCCCTGCAGAAGGGGAGGGGCTGGGGAGCCCTCCTTGTCGCGAACCATCAATGAAGTACAGTGTATCAGCCAAGAACAAGGCACTGGCTGCATGTGCCACAAATCCCAACTGGATGGAGGAATGGAGAAGGGACTATAGCACGGCCACGTCTCCTGACGTCCCCCCCTTCCCCCCCGCCCCCCCGTGGGAAGGGCATGCACCCTCTTGGCAATATAAAAGCAATAAAAGGAGAAAGTGCCCCTCTGCTAATTCTGTCCTATTTGTGTGAAATGAGAGCTGAGGGACAGCCTCCTGGAGATAACCCATTCTGAAAAGAGGGTCTTGTCAGCCCTGGCATGTGGCAGTGAACAGCAGGGGGAAGCCGGCCACATGCCAGTCTGCCATAGGCACACACTGT